CAGAGCAGGGAACAGAACAGGCAGATCTACTGAAATACACCGCTGAGGGGAGCAGCGGGTGAGACAGGAGAGGTCTGCTTCACCATGTGGGTTCCTCGCTGGTCAGCCAGGGATTGAACTCCTACTGCGGAGGGTGTGGATTGCTTCATAGTGCTGTGCTTAACACCTTATGCCACCAGGGAGGCCCAGACTCTGGATATATTTTAGAAGTAGATAAAATTTTTCTCATGGATAATATGTAGGGTTAAGGGAAAGAGAGGAATCTTCAGTAACTCCAAAGATTTTGCCCTGATCAGTCAGTAAAATGAAATTGCCACTTGCTGAGATGTGGCAGAGACTTGGAAAATATTTGAAAAATGGGTTGCTAGGAAAAATAAGAGTTGGTTTTGAATTTGTTATCCTTGGAAAGCCTATTAGGTCACTGAGTGGTGATGTTAGGTATAATTGCAAATGCCAACCTGGATTTTAGGGCAAATGTTGAAGTTGTAGATATATTTGTAATAGGAATAATAACGATAAAGAAAGAGGAGAGAAGAAGAAGTGTAGAAGGAGAAGAAGAAGAAGGCATGTAAAACTATGGGAGTGAGATCATCTGGGAGTGGATGCAGATTGAGAAAAGATTTTTTAGAAACCCTGTAACACCATATTGCAGAAGAGCTTAGAAAAAATGACCAACTATCCCAGTTTGCCTGGCACAGAGGGGTTTCCTGGTACATGAACATTCAGAGGCAGAGGCACACCAACACAGTTTTTCTCCTCCATATGAACACTGTGTTTCAAGAAAGGAGTGATTATCTGTGCCCAATGCTGTAGATAATCAAAACTGAGCAATGACCATTGAAGGCTTTTGATAACTTTGACAAGACTTGTCTGTCAGGAGCAGCTCAATAGATGCAAGGCTCACCATCTGAGGGAATAAAAGATACAAGACCAACGTACCTGAAGACATAACACCTCATTCCCTAGCCCCATCCAGAGCCACATGAAGCTCCTCTACTGCCATGACAAGGGACCGAGGTCATTTGTGATTATCTGTATAACTTGGGTTAAGTTATTTCACCTCTTCAGATCATTGCCTGAATTAAGTGTTTGATTCTATCAGTAGATGTGTGGATGCTATAAAATAACTGCAACCTGCCTTCTATCTTGCAGGTCTTAATAGAGAAAACTCACGAAGTCCACCCTGTTAGGAAATATATAGGAAGGGAGACCATGGAATATAGTTCAGCCCAGCCAAGCTGACACATCACAAACCCATCACAATAAGTGAAGCTTCACTTCAGATAATTTTCAGTCCTTTTTTTTTTTTTTTAAAGATTTGCACAAGAACCGGGGTAAAGGCCAGATGCACAGGAGGGTGAGAGGATTCACCAGAGTCAGAACAGGGAGCAGAACAGGCAGACTGACGAAATACACTGCTGAGGGGAGCAGCGGGCACGACAGGAGAGGTCTGCTGCACCATGTGGGATTCTTGCCGCCTGGACAGGATAGAACCAGCACTGCAGAGGCTGCGGACAGCTTCACAGCGCTGCGCTCAACCGCCTGCGCCACCAGGGGAGGCCCTAATTTTCAGTCTTTTATATATAGTCATACACATATTTTTATATTTTGAAAAGGATTTTTTTGTTTTTATTTTGATTACTTGAGTTTTTTTCCTGCCCCATACTATTTTAATGATGTGATGATTCATGATGTAAGGTGTCCCTCTTGAAATTATGTTGAAGATCACACCAAAGATTAAACTAGTCATTGGAGTTTCCACAGAGTAGGAACCCCTATAAGCTCAATAACAGAGTAACAAAATAGTTAATATTCACATTTTGCTTTGAAGCTTTCAAGGGCCCAACTCTTTCCTTAGGGATTAACATTCCTTCCCCTCCTCCAATTCCAAAAATTCATCCATTAAAATACAAGGTCACTACAACTCTCTTCAATCTTTCTTTTCTCCTTTTGCTAATCACTAAATAGATGTGTATGCCTTTTGATTACCTCATAGTAAAACTTGCTCTAAAGATTAAGAATTCAGGTAGTTTAGAGAACAGAAATCTCTTCTGGGTCCTGGTTATTATTTGAATTTGCAAAAGGAACAACTTGCTTAGAGGCCTAGTGAAAGTAATTGGGATCTCCACCCACTTCCCAAAAGCAAGATGAGTTTATGTCTCATTTGGAATAAATAGTTTCCTCCCTTGTTAATTTCAGTGGGTAAGAGGGAGATACCATTTTTAAATGTCAGTTGTGTGTAGTGGTAGAACAGTTTGTGCTTCCAATGTTTTTAGTCCTGAAATATAATCAGCCCTCAAGGGTTTATGACCTTATGATCAATTGTATATATTGCACTTGGCACATTGCCCCCCAATGTGTTCAGTGATGATATTGCATTCTTTATCATAGTGCCCCCTCCAAAGATAGCATCATTTATGTGAGAATGTGGCTAACTTTACCACCTCATGGTTGACTAAAAATGTATGCAAAGAATCATGCAACTAGCTACCTGTGCATTTTTGTATTCCCTATGCCCAACTCAGTGACTTACATTCAGTAGATGCTCAACAAATAACAGCTAAATGAGAAAATTGGCCACTCTTTTCTTGATTTTTGGACCATTTGGCCTATACCTACAGATGTTGCTGTCACCCAAGTTTTTCATTTGTGACTATGTATTTCAGAAACATGACAAGTATAATACTTTGGCTGTACCTGAATATTTTTCTTGGTAATTCCACACAAATGCCATTTCTCTATAGAAGTTTCTACTTAGGAGTTAGTGCTTGTGTCACATTGCTTCAAATGATGCATTAATATAATTTGAAAGTATATATTTGCATAATTGATAGTCTTCATAATCATTTATATTTACTATTACTTTAATAAATTAATTAGTTAATTAATTCAATCACTGTTATTTCAAGCAGCTGATCTCATGAGACACTCCAAATGGAACTTGTGGGTAATGATGTTTTTGACTCTCTTCCAAATATACTTGCTATTGTCCTGTGTTTTAATTATTTTGGAAATGTAGATTCTCTGACAAGCCCACAAGAGAAACAAAATTATAGTTGTTGAGAACGTGAACCTGTCTAGCTTTGAATTCCAAATGGGCTACTTGCCAGCCATAAAAACATGGGCATGCTACTAAATCTGTAGCCTTCGATGTCCTGTTCTGTAAAATGGGGATCATAAGAGTGTATTTTATATAGTTTTCATGAAATTTAAATGAGCTAATATATATAATGATCTATTCTGATTTCTTGGCACATAGTAAGTGCTCAAGAATTATTAGTTCATTGGGTATAACCTTTACAGTTTAACGATAGGTATGTTAAAAATCCAGTTTTCCTCATTTGAAACTGAAATAATTTCAGATCCTCACTCTGAACTCTGTACTGGTGCTGAGGCAGATTGATTTGTTGTGTGCATGGATGATGATTTGTTCCCTTTGTCCTTTTGCAAACCCTGTCCTTACCTGGTTTCTACATAGATTGATGTGGGTCCCTTAGTCTCTGCTCTTCCCAATTGCTTCGCTCTTAGTGGTACTCTCTAAGGATGAAGGTCATCTCCTTCGCTGACCCCTAGATTCCCAGTGAGGACCCAGAGAAACCTCTCTTTCCTTTGTCCCACCACATGGGAGTCATGAGGAAATAAGAGGTGCCCTTGCTCTCTCCTACTGAAGTATATCCTGTTGCTTTCTGTTGTGTCCCCTTTGGACCTGCTGACATAAGGTTTGTGTGACACTTTCAAGATCTCAGACAAGAAGTAGGACGTATGTTCCCTCAATTCTCCTCTTCATCTTCACTCCCCAGTATGTCACTCATGTCTACCATCACCAGAGACAGAGGGTTGAGGAGGAGACAGGGAAAGTCACATTTACACACTCTCATCTTATTTCCCTTTGCCTTTCAAGAGCATTGTATTTTCCCTTCCAGTAGGAGCCTTTACCTCTAGTCTGGTGTATGGTTTCAGTGTAGTGAAAAACCGGTTTTGTTAGCACTTCCTTTGGATCTGTCTGTCCTTGCTTCATATTGAGACAGTACAAGTCAACAGTCTGGGTGGTTTGTTTTTTTTTTTTGGTCCATTTGGTGGGGGTGCAAGCAATGCCTCCTTGGGCTGATGACCCCAAATAGTCTGCCATAAATGGGTACTATAGAGCTGCTGGTATTAGTATTAGAAAAATCTTCTTGATCTAAGTGATTCTTTTATTTCCATAAGTGATTCTGTCTTTGGATTTCATAGCTATGAAGATATATTTAATTGCCAACTTTAAATTTTATTACTGAAAATTATTTAAAAAATTACCTTCTACTTCTATCATTACTTTTATTCCTTCCCTTCCCCACTGTGGCAGTTGAAAACATCATGTGAAAACTTTAAAAGTCATGTGAAAATATTCAGCTTCTTTCCCTTAGTTTGCTCTTCTAACTGCAGTCAGAGGCAGTATTTTCATGCCAGCCCCAGTCAACCTGGCAGCACCAAGTCTGGTTCACTGTGTGCCGTAATTATACATGAAGAGCTTGTAAGAACCCATGTATAGAATAACCAAGGCCAAAGGAACTATTGTGCCTAAATATGCAGATAGGAAGAGTGTGTTGAGTTTGCCAAAATTTATGCAAAATTGCCTCTGTTCACTACTCCTCTGTATTTGGGTAAACATGGCCTCAGAGAGCTTTTGCAGGAGAAATTATAAAAATTCAGCAAAGACTTGTGATCTCATTTTGGATCTCCTTAGGGTTCCTCATCAAGATGCAATTAAGCAGAGAAAAATTCTGCCTTGGGGTGTAATTTTAATTACTCATCATGTTACGACTTGACTTTCTGTGCTGCGTTTCTTTTCCTTTCCATATCACTGCTTCTGTGTTTGACAGCTCCTCTAAAGACATTTCATTGTATGCTGAGTGAAGTACTTACTGAGTGAAAGGAAGGGCCAGGTGAATTCTACTATCTTCTTAGAACTTTTGCCTGAAAACCGTGTAGGAACCTCCTTTCTCTTTTTCTTACCCCTCCAGCCTCAGTTTTATGACCCAGTGGAACCAGGGGACTTTGAAGGACTTCTGATGACACACCTGAACAGCCTGGATGTGGAGCTTGCTCAGGAGCTGGATGACTTTGCCCAAGACGACTTGGATGTGGAGTTCAAACCAAAGGAATGTCGGACTTTGCAGCCGTCTTTGCCAGAGGAAGGGTAAATCATTTTCTTTAAAATGTAGATGGGATTCTGACTGTCATCAGTAAATGGGATGGGGGGCAGTGTAGGGAAGGAGAGATATGCCCTAATTCTGGACTTCCTTTAAAATAAACAAAGTTGCTAACAACTCTGTGGTACTATCACCTAATCATAATTTTTAAATTGGTTTGGCCAGAATCTCTGAAAATCTTTGTGGGGTCTAGGTCAGTTAAAGGGATGAAGTGAAACAAAACAGAATGGTCAAGAAGAGGTGAAGAGTGCAATCCCTGGAGCCAGACTGCCTGGGTGTCAGCTTAGTGACCTTGGGCAAATCATGTGACCTTATGAAGCCTCATTTTCTCCATTTGTGAGAATATCAAGATTTTTAAACAATAATCCTTGAAATGCCTCACTTCAGAAGCATTTTAAAGATTTATTTTTATTTATTTATGCATACAAGAACTGGGGTATAGGCCAGAGGTGGGGTGTGTGTGAGAGGATTCATCAGAGACAGAGTGGGGAGCAGAACAGGCTGACTGACTGAAATACACTGCTGAGGGGAGCAGCAGGCAAGACAGGAGAGGTCTGCTGTGCCATGTGGGTAGCTCCCTGGCTGGGGATTGAATTCATGCTGCAGTGGCTGTTGATAGCTTCATAGTTCTAAGACTTAACCCCTTGTGCCACCAGAGAGGCCCCAAAAGCATTTTAAATGTTTCCACAAAAAAGGCTGGATCAAGTCAGAAACCTAACTTCAGCCCACATTTGTTGAGCATCTACTATGTGTTGGGGACTGGCATAAGTAGATAAATAAGGCAAAGTCCCTTCTTTTGAATTTTGTGAAATGGAAAAACAATGGGAAAAGCTCTAGAATAAAAATGTAAATTACTATTTAGGGCTTGAGTTTCTGTGTTGATGAGTCTGTGTGATTATAGATGTGGACATTAGCTCTTAGTATTAAACAGTGGAATTATATCTAAATAAAACTTCCGTAGTGTAAAATACAATGTCCCTATAAGGTGTAGGTTGAACTTTTATTTGCATTTGTTTTCAAAACAAAATTAAGATTCACATCCTGTTGGGCATTTTCAACATTTTCATCTTCCCCAAAAAGTCCCAGAAAGGAGATCATGAAACATAAACCCTGCCCTCTTACTCTGGGGTAGTATAGTTCTATTTTGGATTTCATTTCGTCACTAACATAAGAAGATTGAATAACAGTAACATGGTTTCATCATGATACTTTCTCTCTGGTTTAGGTAATTCTGATTCACTTAGGAGAGCTAAACATATGTTTAACTCTAGCATTTAAAAAAAAAAAACTCAGTTCCCAGAAAACAAAAACACCGTTATCCTTCAGAAACATTTTTCCCTGCTCTCAATCCACGTATTCAGGTATGATTTTAATAAAGGTAATGGCTATTATTTTTACCTTTGGTAGAGAATCATTATTTAATTTTATTTCTTTGTGTAAAATTTGATTGTCTTCAAGTGAAGTTAGATTCTTGGAAAAAATCTTTAAAATACCATAACTTGGGCCTCCCCTGGTGGCAAAGCAGTTGAGCACTGGGGTACAGCCTCTGCAGTGCCTGTTCGATCCCTGGCCTCCGGGGAGGGTCACACATGGCACGACAGACCTCTCCTGCCGCGCCAATTGCTCCCCTCAGCAGTGTATTTCATCAGTCTGCCTGTTCTGCTCCCATCTCTGGCTCTGGTGAATCCTCTCACCCTTCCGCGCTTCTGACTGTACCCAGTGCTTGTATAAATAAATAAATAAATCTTTTTAAAAAATAAATAAAAATTAAGTGAAAAAGCTTAAAAAAATATCATAACCTTAGAGTCAGGAGAATTTTTAGTTTGTGCAATTTGATAGAAGAGGAAATTTTTTCCTTAGTGTTCATTTTTGAGTATAATATTGTCTTGTCACCAAAATTTGTAACTGTTTGATGACTTTCAAACAACCTCTACTACTTCAACTGTGGCCAAAAAGTTTTCTATATAATTATAACCTAGAAAGGTATCATTGACATCATCAGAGTAAACAACCACTGACTGCTGTTGAATCCCTGTGTCTAGTTCAGAAGTTTATGTTGAACTGCCGTAGTGTCGTAGAAATAAGCCTGCACTCTGCTACTGAACAGTTGATTAAAGTCCCTTTTCTACCTCTTGCGGTGTCACTTTAAGCAAGATCTTTATCTCACTCCACTGCAAAATGAGAATAATAATAACCCCTGCCCTATTATTAATTCAAATTACTGGATTAATATGGGTGAAGTGATTACCTCAGTGCCTAGTTCATAATAAGTGGTATGTAACTGTGAACCATTTGTGCCGGACACTTTTCTAAGCACTTGCACACTAACCACTTAATCTTCATCACAGTGCTCTAAGAGTAATAATTTAAAGTTGAGGAAACTCAGGCACAGAAGGTTTGAATGATGGCCAAGGTCACTCACAGACAGGGCTGGGATTTGGGCAGTAAAGGTCCAGGATCCATGTGCCTAAATATTTTGATTTTTCTTTAATTTTAAATTTTATTTGTTTGTTTGTTTATTTTTGCATAGAAGAACTGGGATCTAGACCAGAGGTGGGTGAGGGGATTCACCAGAGACAGAGTGGGGAGTAGAACAGGCAGATTTACTGAATTACACTGCTGAGGGGAGCAGCAGGCAAGACAGGAGAGGTCTGCTGTGTCATATGTGGGTTAGCTCCCTGGCCAGGAAACAAAGTCAAGCCTTAATGGTGATAGTGCTGAGACCTAACCCGTAGGCCACCAGGGAGGCCCAGTATTACAATTTTTCATGTAGGTCTAACAGCAGTCCCACAAGGAGGGTATTGTTCTTATCCCTTTTCTACGAACAAGAAATTTAAAACTTACAACATTTAGACCTAGCTATCTCTAGTTTCAACACATTTAGAAATAAAAACAAAAGGCTTTACTACTCAGGAATAGTTTATTTCTATTTTATTGAATTATAATTATTAGAATTGTTGTTATTACTATCATCAAATTATTATCTCTGATTTCAAAACTCTGAAGCACATGAAAAGTGTCTCTCATGACACACTCCTATGTAGGTATGGCAGGAAACACCCAAATTAATTGTCGTCACCCAAAGCCCATGCCTGTCAACTCCTCAAAGTCTAAGACAATAGTTCTTCATGATTTTCAGAAAGGAAAACTTGCATGTCCTAACAAGGTTACACATGAGCAAAAAAAATGCCCAAATTACCCTTGTAAGAAATTGGTATTTGCACTTATTTTCCTTGTTTTGTATGTGATTATATCAAGTTCTACCTGTCTTGTGTCGGAACGCCTTCAGGGATAGGTATAGTTTAACATAATTCTCTATAATAAAGAAAACCCACAAAGCATAAAATGCCAACAAGTTTTTCTCATCAAAGTAAAAATTTTATTGCCTCAGGAATACTTCAAACACTAGAGATGAACAAGTAAGAACAGCCTTAGCATTCTCATTTGATACAAATATAAAATCATGCTGCTGGGGCCTCCCTGGTGGCGCAAGGTGTTAAGACACAGCACTATGAAGCTATAGGCAGCCACTGCAGCACAAGTTCGATCCCCAGCCAGGGTGGTGACTCACATGGAACAGCAGACCTCTCCTGTCTTCCCGCTGCTCCCCTCAGCTATGAATTTCAGTCAGTCTGCCTGTTCTGTTCCCCACTCCCACCCCGCATCTCTGGCCTGTATCCCAGCTCTTGTTTGCATAAATAAATCTTTGGAAAAAAATCATGCTGCTGTCCTTGGTTATGATAAGGGATTGTTTTGTTTTGTTTTGTTTTGTTTTGTTTTTGTTTATTTATGCATACAAGAACTGGGGTACAGGCCAGAGGTGTGGAGGGTGAGAGGATTCACCAGAGACAGTGAGGAACAGAACAGGCAGACTGACTGAAATACACTGCTCAGGGGAGCAGAGGAGGAGACAGGAGAGGTCTGCTGCGCCATGTGGGCTGCTCCCTGGCCGGGGATGGAACTCATGCTGCAGTGGCTGTGGATAACGTCATAGGTTGCATCTCAACCCCTTGCGCCACCAGGGAGGCCCCTTCTTTTGTTGTTTTAACCCAGAAATAACATATGTTTATTTTATTTTCTGACTTCTTAGGGTTGAACTGGACCCTCACGTCAGGGACTGTGTTCAGACATATGTTCGGGAGTGGCTGATTGTGAACCAGAAGTAAGTCCATTTTTCCCTCTCTTTACATATATTTAATTCATATTGTTAGTTTAGTTTTTTTTTTTGTTGTTGTTGAGAGACTTTTTTAAGGGTAGTTTTACGTTTGCAGAAAGATTGCGTAGTCAGTTACTGAGATTTCTCGTCTATACCCCACTCCACCCCTCTGCAGTTTCCCCCTGTTATTCACATCTTGGTTTTTTTGCTTGTTTCTTTGCTTGTACATGTATATGAATGACTGTGAATATTGACCTGGGGGTTACAAATAAATTTCAACAAGAGAAATTTGGAAATTATATATACATGAATAATTAGCATCAACTGTATCTTATATTGGTCTCCTGTTCAAATACATTCTAAGTCTCCCTACTGTCTACTATAACAAATATAAACTTCTGCTTTCCCTTCAAAGGGCTCTACTGATCTGCCCCCACTCTATCAAAACTTACTCCCCTTGACTTCTGGAGCTGTTACCTTTCTTCTGGGCCTGGCTTCTCTCACTCGTTGTTCTACCACATATATGCCTCAGTCCTGTCAATACATCTCTACTCTTGTTTCCCCACTGGTCATGCCCGCCCTTCTTTTACCACCTACCCATGCCTACCTATGGATTAACGGGAAGATCAAATTTCTTATTTCTTTGCACGGTTTTTTCTGACTGATGTATCCTTTCTTGACGGATCTTGCTTTAATGTGGTACATTTGTTATAATGGATGAATAACTATTGATACATTAATATTAACTAAAATCTATTAGTTTACATTAGGGATTCTTTTGTGTGTGTGTGTTACACATTCTATAAGTTTTGCAAATGAATCTGTCATTATAGAATCATACAGAATAAAATAATCCTTCGTGCCCTGGTCATCCCCCCTTGACCACCACTTATCTTTTTACTGCCTCCATAGATTTGCCTTGTTCCTTTAAGTCTTCCTGAGGACTGATACCTCACTTCTTTTTTCACTGATTATTATTCTGCTGAGTGTATTTATCAGTCTATTATCCATTCACCCACTGAAGAACAATAATTTTAAATATGAAGAATAGAACTTTTGTTTTGTTTCTATTCTGATGAATTCTTGGTGGGGAAAGGGTTAATGTATTGAAATTTGCCTTCAGATTCAAAGGTAACCTTTACATTTGTGCCTGAGAAGTTATTTGCTAGCTTTCCAAAGGTCTTTTTCTCCTATTCTATGACATTATTCTGAACTTTTCTCCTGTTTTCCTCTGACCTGGATACTCCTCTCTCAAGAGAAACATCTACACAGACTAAAATTCTCTACCTATATGTGTGTGCTGGGAAGGGGAGTGTCTGCAGATTGGGGCCTTATCCCACTAAGCAAACATCAGAGAACCTTTGATAAAACATAAATAGCTTGAAATTCTGATGTCCTTACCTCTTCTATATTCCAGTAATTACTGTCCTATGGGATAAATGATGAAAGACTTTGGAGAATGGATTTTATCCAGCTCCTGGAAGTGTGCCATTGAATTTATGCTGATGATTTTTGGAGTAATGTCAGTATACGTACTATTTTCAATGGCTGAGAAAGAGAAAGCATTGCTCATAAGAAATAATTAAAAGAAAGCTAGATGGTAATCCATCATCTGTTCCAATGTGAATGGGAAGCTAAATTTGCCAAGCAGTAGAATAAGATTATGCTTTGCTGTAATAAATAATAGATTTCAGAACAAGTTGTACTCAAACTTTTAATGTTATAGTTGAAGGTACTTTCTGGAGACTAAGGTTCTAAAATAACTGCAAGGAAACAATAAGTAGAAAAGTCCGTTTTACTACATTTGGTTTTTATTTTCTCCTTGAGATACTGTACTCTGATTCCCCATGGCAATATTCTCACTGGAATATTCTTTTTTCCTTATCTTGTACAAACTTCAAGGAAAAAAGGACTCATTAGAAAGCTCATTGTAGAAACTTTAGGGATTAAGGAAACAAAAGGAGAAAACAAAAATCATTTAATTTCAGTATAGGCAGATAACCACCACTAATATTTGATATAGAATCTTTCAATCATGTTTCTTTGCATCAAGATTTACATAAAAAGTAAAACAGATTATAATATCTTTGTGGCATGTTTTTGCAGTCTTCACAGTTGTGATAATTTCTCATTGCTATTAAATATTCTTCCTCAATATAACTTTTAATGGCTGCACAATATATTTTTTCCAAATTCATTTAACCTATTTTCACATTTAGGTGATTCCTTCTATTTTAGTATTATATCCAATATAGCAGTATTGTCTTGGTGGTACGTGTCTATGATTTTTTCCTTTGGAATAAATTGCTCTGATTTAAGGATGTGGAAATAATATATTAGAAAGATTATTAACAATCCATGCATGACTCCTTAAGAATATTGGATGTCATCTTTTAATAAATTTCCAATTTTATTTCTAAAATATGCATTTTCTTTATTAGATTGGTGGTATTTGTCCCATATACTTGTTAGTCATTTGGAATTTTTGCTTATTCCTCAAATTTGTGCATCTCTATTTGTTTGTCTGGGCTTCTTTATCTTTAGAACTGCTTTTATTTGTTATGTATATTAACAATTTGTCTATCATATATTGCAGATTGCTTACCCACTATATTCTTTCTCTTTTTAAATTATTTAGTTCCTTAATAGTCAAAATTATTCATGTAATCAAATCTTTATTCATGATTTTCCTTATGTTTTTTATTTTTGCTGTCATGCTTTAAATGTAATTTACAAACCTAATATTATTTACTAGGAATTTTGATTTGAAATGTTAATCCAAACCATTAGCCACCTGATGGTTGCTTGTTTTTATCCATATGTTTTTATCTCTTCCATAGGAAGAATGATTATATATTTATTGTATCCAAGAGTTTGTCTTTTTATCATAAAATAAAACAATATCTGTTTTAACTTTGTGTTTGGCAACATGCTGGGGGTGGGAATTGCCATTGGCCCAGTTCTCTGTATACTTGTGTAATGGACCAGATCCTTTCCCAGAAATTAGCTAATGGACAGATACAAGCGTGCAACTTTAAAACTCGTTGTCTGTTTCTGGCAAGTTTTGACTAGTGTTTTACTAATGCAGCATCTTTTTCTCCTCATTGTTTGCTTCCTTGGTACTCTGAATCCTATGGCCAAGAAAGCTACAATTTCTAGCCCATACTATATCCGGGGATTGTTCTGCCCCTAGGTACAATTTTAATGTATTTGTTGAGGATGGGAAGAATCCAATACACTATTATCAAATGGCCATTGTATTCCAACCCTACATTTATTTTCAGCTCAGTTGTTTTTTGTGCATTGTGTCTGTGTGGTTGCAGAATGATGATAGAAAGAGAAAGGCAAGAGAGGTGGTTCTGGCTCATGTGAGAGCAAGCAGAACCTGTGAGTGGTTTCACAAAAAGTCATCACAGTGAAGAAACACAGTTCCTTTTCCCGCTAGTATAGACACTAACTGTTCAGGGACTTCCAGGAAGGAAAGTGCAAAATGCCTGCCTCTGAGTTACCCTTTGGAGAAACAAAGTATGATACAGTCTTCTCTTTTCAGTTCCATCTGATCCACAGAGATTCTTTCCATATTCAGACATTAGATTATCTGTTACTTTTGGTGAATTTTCATTTTTCTGTGTCTTTATAGGCTTGAAAGTCATGTGCCGGTGAGGACCCACAGCCAGGAACCCCGTTCAATATCGGGGCTGCTCTATAACAATAGAAGGATACATTAGGGGTTAACAGCCAGTTGTTGCTAGTTAGCGATTAGTTAGCTCTTCTTTGAATTTGTTATATTTTATGTGCATATAATGCATGATTTTTGTGTAAAAAAATCAAGTAATATAGAAGTGTATTAAATACAAAGCAAGACTCAGCATAATGCTTGCTCTCTGCCTTCCCCTCAGCCCGTTCTTAACAGCATAGAGGTCACTGTGTAGGTTTCCAGTTCTTTTCATACCCTCACAAACATATATGAATATTTATATTCTTTTTTCATAAATATGTATATATATCTATCTCTTTAAATATATTTATTAGTATCAACCCACAATGCAGTTTTTTCAATAATATCTTTTGACAACTTTCCATGTCAGAGATCTATCTCTTCCTTTTAAAATGCTCACTGGTGTTCCTAGGATAAAGGAATGTTTCATAAGTTACTGACTCTATTGATGGGCAATGCAGTTGTCTCCATTTTTCACAATTACAAATAATACTGTAATGAACATCTATGCACATTGACCCCTACACACATGTGAGTATTTCTGAAGATAGAAAATGGAACCAGAGCACATGACACATTCTGATAATTATTGTAAATTATTCTCCAGAAAATTTGTGCTAATTCACTTCATTACCACTGAATGCCCTTCCCCCCATATCCAATAATAGATATTGACTCAAGTAAGGTTAAAATTCCTCCAGTCTTATTCTAGTTACCATTTTAAGCTGCAAACCACTTTCTGTATATAGTTTCCTATCACTGCGTTTTTTTCCCTTATGTATTCTAAAGCTAAGTATACACTTTAAATATACACTTTCTGTACAACCTGAAGTTCCTTTCCTGTTCATCTAAGCAAAATGAAAACTTATGTTCACATAAAAGCCTGTATGCAAATATTTTATTTGTAATTGCGCAAAACTAGAATCAACCAAATTGTGCTCAAATGGGTAATGAGTAAACTCTCATATATCTATGCAATGGACTACTTCTCAGCAATAAAATGGAGCACATTACTTATACCTGCAACAACGTGCATTTATCTTGGCTACATTATGTTAAATGAAAGAAGGCAGACAAAAGACAACTGCATGGTTCCATTTATATGACATTTTGAAAAAGATGAAGTTATAGGGATAAAAAAACAATCAGCAGTTGCCATGGTCTAGAGATGAATAAAGGGCAAGGGAAATTTTTGAGAGGTGCTGGGGCTTCCCATTTCTTGGTTGTAAGTGGTGTATGTATTTGTCAAAACTTGCAGTTCTGTAATCGAAAAGGTATGAATTATAAT